ACGCATGTGAAATCCCAAATTAAGGATTTCCTTAAAGACCAATGCACGGAAGTTAAGCCATCTGGTCTTAAGCCATCATCTAATGATAAATTTGTAGGCTCCAGGATGTTTGGTATTCGGGCCCTGGTAAGAGAAACGGCTAATAGCTAAATTAATTGCTGCATGCCTTGCATGCCTGCCTTGCATGCCTGCCTTGCATGCCTGCCTTGCATGCCTGCCTTGCATGCCTGCCTTGCATGCCTGCCTTGCATGCCTGCCTTGCATGCCTGCCTTGCATGCCTGCCTTGCATGCCTGCCTTGCATGCCTGCCTTGCATGCCTGCCTTGCATGCCTGCCTTGCATGCCTGCCTTGCATGCCTGCCTTGCATGCCTGCCTTGCATGCCTGCCTTGCATGCCTGCCTTGCATGCCTGCCTTGCATGCCTGCCTTGCATGCTTGCCTTGACTATATATACAATTTAGACCATGTCTCCCTTTGGAGTTAACTAATATTTTACATTTGATGCATGTATGTGGTTGAACAATGTTACATCCAAGTGGATGGCCTATGACTCTTAATTGTTCATCTGATAAGAGGTTACCTCGGTTACGACTTGGTAATGCTTCCAACTATTCATAACCACTAATAAATTTAGAAATTAATTTTTTTTAACTAGGTTTTATGTAAAAAAGAAATATAATAAAATATTTTAATTGTAAAAAAAAAAAATTGAGAGGCTATAAAATAAAAATAAAATTTACCTGTCAATTCTCAGTTTAGTTACACCGTTAAAAAAAATTATGTAACTTGAAACGAAAACCTTTCATTCTGCTAAATTATTATATGAAACTTACTCAAATACTCATTTAATCTATTATCATATACTATACGCATTTTGATACCATATATATATATATATTGAATTTTTTTTAAAACAATTATTATTTAATTCTTAATCTATCTATCTTCGTGTATTTGCTATTCTTACAAGGCGGACTCTCTGTAAGATATAGAATCGGCACGGTAATCATAATTAAATTTTAATAAAATTTTTCAATGAAGGACCACAATATTAAAATGATCTCTTTAAATATAAGATCCCTGAATGATAAACTAACTATACTTAGGCAAGTCATGAAAGACCAACATTACGATATCCTCCTTTTACAGGAGACCCACCTTAAAGTAACTGAGGTAAGGAACCTCTTAGATTACACCTTATATTGCAGCTCAAATGCTGAACACGTATAGGCTGGGGTGGCGATTATGATACATATTAAATTAATAAGATTCGTATGCTTCAATCAAATCTCCAGCCGAATATGCTGCCTTACCCTAAACTTAGGATACAAAAAAGTTCATTTGTTTAATATATACGCTCCTCACAATGATAGTGTTTTCTATATGGAATTGGAGAATGTCTTAAAGAAACTACCACATCTGAATGGCATCATTCTAGCAGGCGATTTCAATGCTTCGGTAGGTAAATCTAAGAACTCTTCCTGCCTTGGAAACGCCACATTAATACAAAGTACGAACCCCAACGGTAAAAGGTTAATAGAAATCTGTGAGCTTTTCAACATGAAAATTGGAAATACTTTCTTCAATCATCCAACTCATCACATAATGACTTATTAGAGTCCTTCCTTTGGCACTACCTCACAGATAGATTTCTTTGTAATTTCCACTAAGATCTTTAAGTGGATGAGAGACATCAGAGTAATCAGTAAACTAAACCTTACACTTTTTACGGACCATTATCCACTGGGTTGTGAACTCAAAATTAACAACAGTATCTTCCCAAACCACACTAAACAGAACAGTTTCACCACTGTAAAATACATAGCTAGAAAAGACTTGGCACAACTAAATGACTTAGAGGTGAAAGAAGAGTTCGTCCCTAAATTAACATCATGGAGAAATACAGTAAATATCATTAAATTTGACCTAAAAGGACATTAAGCTGAATTTATTAAGTAGTATAACATCATGCTTAAAACCACGCACCAAGCGCAGAGAGTGGCTCACCCCTTCAACAATACAAATAATTAAGAATCTTACAACAAATATTTCCCACCACCAATTCGCAAGACATTATAGGATGTACATTACTCACCGCATAAGGGCTGACAAAAGACTGTTTATTGCTAACTTTTCGAATTCTATCGAATTCAATTTTTATAATAATAATATTTATAAGGCCTTCCAATCTCTTAAACTACTAACCACATTTAAAACCAATCCTTTACCAAGACTACAATTAAATAACAACAAGATTATAACTGACCCTAATGAACAATTAGACTTATAGATAGACCACTACATGAACCTCTACAGAACGAGATGGCTTAAACCTAGATGTGACTACCCCTTCCAATCACCCAGTCAGAATCTGAACAACGATATAGTCGGTGCCATCAAACGTCTAAAAATGCATAAAGCTGCTGGAGCTGATGGGATCTTTGCAGAACTCTGAAAGATAGAGGTAGACCTAAGTGCCAGCTTACTACTTCCCCTCTTTAGGGAGATTTGGAATACAGGTAAGTTTCCTGACGAATGGATGATATCAATTATACTAAACTTCCCTAAAAATAAGTCCCTAAACTGCCTTAAGGATCAAAGGTATTGCCCTGATTCCAGTCACACTAAAAATGTTCACATACATCATATCGGTCAGGATTGAACCAATCATTAACAGGTTCCTTTCTAACGCTATCACATCATACAGGAGTGGCAGAAATACTACGAAGTTGACTATGGCACTTAAGGTCATTCTGGAAAAGGCCAGAATGCATAAATCCCCCATCTTTGCCCTAATGATTGATTTAAGTCAAGCCTTTGACTCCATAATTCAGAATAAGATATGGCCCTTGCTGGAAAACATTGGAATAGATAAGCATCTGATAGCGCTAATTAAGATAATTTAGGACAATCATAGCGTAGTTCCTCAACATCTAAATATGAAATCACAACCTTTTAAAGCAAATAGGGGTCTCAAACAAAGATGCATCCTTTCACCGATTATTTTTAATGTAATAATGAATGATATCCTAAATAAATCCCTTAAACAGGAATATGCACTCAACACATATTACAGTGATCAACAGCACCTCAATGATATGCATAACTCTCTAAACTTTCTATGTTATGCCGACGACGTATGTATTCTAACCAACTCAGAATACAAATTAAGAAATATTTTATCATTATTTGTCAATAACTGTGATGGATATGGTTTAAGAGTTAACTACACAAAAACCAAGCTGATCACCTCAAATACCGATGCGAGTAACTTAAACCCCTTTAACTATGAGGGTAATACGTTAGAATTAGTGTCAGATTTTAAATACCTAGGTACCAGATTTTTTAGATACGAAATCGAGAACGAATAATGCTAGACTCCGCTATCATCAACTGTTGAAATTATGGTCATCCAACCAAATATCAACTAATTTAAAAATAAGACTCTTCAAGTCCCTAATTGTACCCATTTTTATCTACGGCCTGGAGACTTGGCAGGACTCAAAAAGTAACATAAACACAATTCAGACATTTATAAACTACAACACATCAAATACAACGCTATGTAATAGATGCGACATCCTACCAATCAATCGTCTCATACCCTTGAGGAGACTAGAATTACTAGGCCATAGCTTAAGACACTCGCAGGAAAATATGATATTCTCGTCCTTGAAATGGTGCCCTGACGGTAGAAAGAAAACTCCTAAATACTATTGGTTGGCGAAATGTTTGAAAGATATGGACCTGATTAACCTCTCGTTTGCAGATTTTATGGCACTCAGCAAAAACAAGAAACACCTAAAAGAACATTTACAATACATGTTAAAATGTGGCTTAAATTAATATTGAAACCGTTCTTCTCCTTTACTTTCTTGCAATAAATAGAATAAAGTATGTTTGATAATGATAATAACCTGAACAACAACAACATAACTTAACTTCCTTTATTAACCCACGACCTTTCTTTTCTGGACACACGATATCGGCGACGATAACGATAACAATTACGAGACCATTAGTTGTATAATGAACAATGAGAAGGTACACTGGTTATAATAATAACCAATAACTTGGACGAACCCAAATATCGGCACAGCACATACAAGATCTACAGGACATACGATATTTGGCACACCGAACAACAAACAAGGAAGAGACTCTTCATGCAAACTTAACATAAACTCTCAATACTTACCAAGATATAAGGGTTATTATTTTTTGTTGCCTCACTAAATACCACTTAAGAATGCAGGTACATTATTATATGACATTATTTTTTTTCCCCCTTAACACTATTCTGCCTGTAACGGAACTAATACATCGTCATTATTGTACTTCTTCCTTCTTCACTTTGCTAACTAGCTACATAGTGGTACCGTCCACTATAATAAAACGGGTAGACATCATGTATGGGATCTATATACTAGTGAAAATACATGATGCACGCTTCAACTCCTGGTGAGTGATGAATCTGGCGTGGTAATGAATGAATGAATGAATGATGTAACTTTTATCGATAAAAATGCGAATGCTCATTGACGCGCACCCGAAAGATAATGCTCTTATTATAAAATCAGAGAATAAAGAAGAACAAGATATTAAAACGTATTTTAATATATATTAATTTTTATATGCTAGATATTTTAGGATAAAATTATTAAATCTTTCAAAAAACGTTGATCCTGATATATTATCTTTCAAACTTATTGAGAAGTTTGACATACTTTATGGCCATAAAAAGGAATTGAAGCATTTGCTAAATTTTTTAATCAAAAGAATCAACTCTCCAACCAATAGCATAAAGTTAAAAGGAGAAATTAGTTCAAGTATATAACACATTTATCTAAAATGGTATTTTTTATCTAAAATGGTATTTTTTATCTTTTAGCTAACAGCAATATTATCAATACTGAAGTTATTGATGAGCATATTGAATTACTATATGAGAATAAATCTTCCCAGCTAAAATGTTTAAAATTTCTCTTGCAATCATGTAGTTCTTCCTCAAATATGTGTATTATTGTAGAGCATGGTAGACACTATTATTGACTAAAATATATAATTTATATTAATAGAAACTCTCTTGAAAATCATTATAAAAATATTGAATAATCAAAACACAACTGATTATGATGTTACTTTATACTCAACATCATTATTTGTTACAGTTGCTAAATTTTTATGTTTTACAGAAAAACTCTTTAGTTTAAAAATTATAGAAATTTTTTTAAAAGTTTAATTATAGTTGAGCTTCCATATAAATTACATCATGTATAGATATTTTATTCCATTACAAAATCTTATTCGCATGTTAATCAAAATGAGTTATTGCCCAAAATCCTGGATATTAAGGATAAGGAGAAAACAATATTGCAAAGTTATATTAAATATAGGATTACTCTGTTATTTTATTATGTAGATTGTTTGCAACTATTTATATATTACACTGATGATCACAACTCATGTAAACATTACATAGATTTACTTTGCAAACTTGAGCTAATTCCTACCTTAAATATTTTGTCCACTGTTAAAGATGTAATTGAAAATCAAATAGGACCATTGTTAATTCACCTACTATTTAACATGAGCATTTACAAGGAAGTGATAATTAAATATGTAAATCTTATTTTTTAATTTTATTTTCATAGACATATAAATAGAAAATTATTAACTCAAATGTGAAGTTACAATGTTGTTAAATTCCTTAGGCTGCATTCAAAGTGGAGATGGAGTCGTTTTTTACATCTGTTCTGTCAAAAGTCAATCTCATTAAAAATGATATATATATGTTCAAAGTGTGTCTGTTCTGATACCTTCCATCTTAAAATGGATCCGGCAAATTTAATAGAGTGTTATAATGTTAATTATAATTTTTTAAAAATGGAAATAAATAAATATATATATCATTTTTAATGAGATTGACTTTTGACGGAACGGATGTAAAAAACGGATCTGTCTTCACTTTAAATGCAGCCTTAATTGGGTTGAATTAGCATGTTTTTGTTTGAAAAAATGAGCTAGACACAACCCAACCAAATGGGTTGATCTGCTTGACCAAATCTATATCCCTGAGCACCAACCTAAAACCAACTTAATACAATATTTTATTGTAAATATTTCTCAATCATATTTTTATGCCTAGAGGACTATATTTGAAAACATCAATATGCCTAATCTAATTAGTATTAATAAATTTATCAATATAAATTCAATACCCCCACCCCCTCTTATACCCTACTGTAAAATAATAATACTTTTTCTTCCGGTATATTTATTTATATATATATCTTACTTATTGTCATCTAATTGGGACCAACACCCAGATTTATATATAGAGTAAATAAAAAAAAATTCATTCAATTTTTAATTCTTTAGATATTTTCTCAATAATTTTTTATTTAAAAAAATTTAATTTTAATTCATATATGAGAAAAATTAATAACTTTATATAGTAAAATTTAAAATTCTTAATTAAATTGAGCAAGAATATGTTGTCTTAATTTATAAAATTAAAAATATTGTTTAGTTTTAATATCTGTAGAATCAGGACCATGTACAGACTTTTGCACACCCAGTGAGAAAAATTTTGCATTCATTTAAAAAACCTCCAATTTATCTATTCATCAAATTCAGAGATAAAACTTTGTAATTCAAATGTCTAAAAATTTATTATATAATGATCACAACTCGAGTTGCTAGTGTAAGGTAAAAATTATACAATATTTTCAGATTAAGAAGAGAACACCATTTGTAAAAAAAGAATTAAATATAATATTAAAGAAAGGTAATTATTTCCTCATCCTTTATGCATAATAATATGATTAAGGAAAATACTCACAATAAAATATATTAAATTGGTGGGTTGATGCTTGGGTCTATGGATTTGGTTGATTAGATTGACCCTTTGGTTGATTTGGATCTGGTTCATTTTTTCAACCAAAAACCATGGTCATGGTAGTGCAAAACTAACCATGTAACCACATTACTATATAGGCTCTAATTTTTTGTCTATAATTGATTGGGATAGAACATGTGCAGAAAATTTACTACCCCATTGTATATGTACTAGAGTTCTGCAAGTCTATTTGAAACTCAGGGTCAAATTTTTGGGCATGACTAAAATACGCGCCCTTGGAAAAGAAGCTTAATTTATATCATATTAATATAGAATCGTATTTAGCATTATAAGATGATTTAGAAAATGTTTTTTTTTAAAAAAAAATGGTAACAGTAAAATTTAAAAAATATAATTTTTTTACTTGACTAAAATATGCGCCTTATCAAAAAAGTTAAACATGATTCTGCATTCATTTTTTAAAAATAATGTATATTCACCAAGGGCGCATACGCGTAGTATAAAAAAAATTTTTTTAAAAAATAAATACTATCATTTTCTAAATCTCCCTGAAAAGCTTAACATGATTCTGCATTCATTTTTTGTCAATATTGTTAGGATGTAACCCTCAATTTCAGTCTAGGTTTAGCATTAATGTCATTGCTTTGTCCTATCCCCAAATCCTAGAACAATGTATCACTTTATTTTTGATAAAAGTAAAGGAGAAACAAGAATTTTATTTTTTAACTCTCAGCGGGGGCTTGAGTTAAAATATAGAAAATGAGTCATTTTTTTGCAAAATCTACACAGGCCTTATAAAATTTCTCTTTAAAAAATATTTTAACTAAATAAGCAGATCACGATATTTCATGTATTTTCATATTTTATTTTTAATAAAACTAGGGTGAACATGATTTAGTGAAAAATTTGGGCAACTTCTTAATTTCCGGTCATCTCATACACACGGACGAGTCCTTTCACAACAATATGCTCTCGTTGATGCTGAACATGTCCTTCGATTGTAAATTAAGAATCGCTATGCTTAAATCAGGATACATCGATAAAATCAATAATATATTCAGTTGAGTCTATTTCCTGACTAAAGACGTATTAGACCCAAATCTTCACAGAACCATTAGCGGATCTGGAATTTTTTAATTATTCAGTCAGCTACTATGATATACGGGATATAATTTCTCGTCTTGTCGGTACCGTCCTGAATTTTTTGATTATCCCCGGTGATATATCGGATCAAATTTTCCACCTATGTGCCCATCCTAAAATTTTAAAAAACCGCTAGATACAAATCGGGGAAATTCGGATCCAGTGCATCTCTAATATAGTTGCTCTAGTTCTTTGAGTAATCCGCCCTTGAGCATAATTCTGATTTTGCTAAATCCCCTACGACATATACATACAAATTATTTGTACCTTTTTTTTGTTAGAACCGGTTAGCATTTCTTCAAATTTTAAAAGGTATTTCGGTTCAAGAAGTTTAGGATAGGTTTCTAGTTCCAGTTTAACGCGTGAAAGTGAAATTTATGAGATTTTAAAATCTCACACCATCAAAATCACATGGCTAATAAATAACGTGTAAAATTGAAATTATGAAATTTTGATTTTTATCGCTTTAAATACATTGGTCTTTAAAACAAACTTCACATATATTTTGAAATGCAGGAAATATGATTACAGAAAAAACGGATTTGAAATTAAAAAGCATTATATAAAAATGTCTTCAACCTGACAGTTTCATTCAAATCTGACGTCTAAATTTTACACAATTTAAAAAAAATCGATAAAGATCGAAATCTCATAATTTCGATTTCATGCGTTATTAGACGTGTGATTTGGGTAACCTTATATATCAGAATCTCACAGATTTTACTTTCACATGTTACACCTTCCCCCCCTTTAAAAAAAATATTTTTTGTCATTTCTATTTTTTATTCAAAAAAATATATATAATGACAGAAAACGAAAAATTGAATAAAATTGTCAAAATTTTGTACAATTTTTCTCTGGAACAAAACTGCATAACACGATTCAATGGCTCTATCATTATTAATCGAGTATAAATATATTATATTATTCGTTTTTTACCCCACTTTTTCAAAAGCTCATATATTACTTTTCGTAAGGATAATGTATATATCAGATTTTTCTTTCCTTCCTAAGCTTTTTTGATAATATATTTTTTTGTATTGTTTGTTAAGGCTCCTTTTTTTTAAAAAAAAGATCAATAGATGAAAAATGAAGTTATTAACATAAACAAATTATTTTGCGTTTATGTACACGATATAATTTTGAACTGAAATTCTTTATATTTAAATAGTGTTTTAATTCCTTTCGACTTCGACCGAGTCGAAACCGAAAAAAGCTGCCTTAACCAAAATCTGGGCCGTTTTTTCAACTCTGACTCAAAGTTCGGGTCTTTTTTTACAAATTCAAAAGTTGTGGTCGTTTTTTCGATCCGACTCAAAATATGAGTCCTTTTTTTAAAATCCAACAAATAGTTTCGTAAGTCCCCACAAACGCTTAAACAATGTTTATGCTTATATTCCTGAAATACCAATTTATGAATAATCAATACTGGATATAATTTTACTCTTGTTTTATATGAATTCCGGAGAGTCTTCACATTTTAATTCTTGAAATTTGTAAAAACGGACGGTTAATTATGATAAATTTGTAAAAAAAAATCAGCACACCTTGGAAAAATTTTATAGCATAAAACATCTTTTAATAATTAAAAGTTTAAAAAAAGTTTGCTCGATTTTTTCGCTTAAAATGAATTTTTTAGGCACTCATTACAATTGATACTGTGACTAACTTTAAACCCTTAATAAATATTTAAGAATTTCTAAACATATTTATATGATAATGATTTCAATCATGAAAAATCTTTTTTTCTGGGGTAATGGCGGAATCATTTTTCTATGGTTTATTGTAGAAATTTTAATTTAGCATGTTTTACAATATATATTTTTACTCATTTCAGGCAAAAAAGATTAAAAATAACGATTGTGACAATTGCCATTTTCTTGTGGTTCATCCAGGCGCGTACGCAGCGGGGGGGGGGCAGGGGGACAAATCCCACCCAAAGCCAAAAAATGCAGATGCCGGATTATATTTTTCAAAAATATTATTGTTAATATTAATTTATATTTGTTAATATTTATTCTTATCTCATATATACATATATATATATATATATTTAATTACATTTATTTATCACATTCATCTACTAAGTTATTTTATCAATCAATTTCGATTTCAAGTTTTGGCGTAATTTACCTATTATTTTCAAATTTTAGTGGCGTAATATTTATCTAAATTTCTAATAAAATAATAATTATCTCTGACTCCTTGTCCAACAGGGAGAAAAAAATTGCAAGCTTGTCCAACGAGATCGAGTCTCCGCCACAGTAACAGCTATTTTGGAGTTAGAAGAGCTGATTATTAATGCTATTACTGAAATATCACAATGGCTTGAAAGAAATATTTCCTCAGAAGCAAGAAAATTATTGGATTCAATACTTATTCCTAATTTTTTTTCTCATTAGAATGTATTATTTAATTATACAACTATTTTATGTAATACTTTTCAAAAACATAACATTGACTTGATTAAGAAGATGAGAATAGCGGAGAGCATTTTATTAGAACTCAAGGAAATAGAGCTAGTGTTGTTGAAGAATTTCATATTTTATATGTTATTGTTGAGTCAAAAGCAGAACTATACGTGTTAAATATTTGTCCCCCTCGACTTGCAGCAAGCAAGCTCATCATCAAAACATTAATATAGGATCAGTAGAAGAGTATTATAAAACAAATGTCCCCTCTCCCAACCTTTTTCATATGGTGATAGAAAAAAATATAAATATTTGTTATATTTTTATCATGAAGATGTTAAAATATCTTATGATGCCTTATTAGCTGAATAACTATGATTAAAAGATTAACTATGGTTGATACAGTCCCAAAAAATGCTATGGATGCTTTTTATTTCAAACACATTTTAGATTATACTCCCAATTATTAAAATGGTTATATATATATTAGCAGCTCTTTAGTAAACTAATGAGAGAACATTCACTTTTTTAAGAAGAATAACAGAGCCTTGCAGAGGTACCATTTGCAGGACCAGGCCCAGATTTTATTTTAAAATTTTTTCCGGCCCGGGTTTTTTTTAAAAAAATTTTCAGGCCCGGCCTGGCTGGCTTAGCCCGAATTTTTTAAAATAAATTATATTTATTTTTGATATTTATAGCTAATAATGGCGATTTCAAATATTTGGTTTTAAAATATACAACTCGGCTCGGATATTTTTTCTTAAAAAATTTTCAGGCCCAGCCCGGGTGTTTTTAAAAAAAAAAATTACGAGCCCGGCCCGGGTATATTTAAAAAAATTAAAATACGGTCCGGCTCAGGGGCCGGGCCTGCAAGTCTGTGAAAAACATACCTATGAAATATAACATCTGAAAGTAGATTGAATGATTTGGATCTTTTGAATATTCATAGACATTTAACGCCAAGCAAGGATTGATAATTGAAAAATTAGCTCAAAACATACAAAATACAATTATTCCTAAGAAACTTTTTGTGTATTAATTTATATTTACAACATTTAAATTTTTTATACTTTATATATTTTAAAAGCTCAAAAAATTCAAATTTCAATTTTGGGTCATTTAGGTGATTCATATCGTGAGTTATATTCACTTTATATTTTATGATTCATATTTAAATGCCGGTTTATATATATAATTTTTTTAATTCACATTAGTTTAAAATTGTGTATTAGAAAAGTTATTAATCCTAATAAATTTATGCTTTAGTATTTTTAATTAAAAATATTATTTCTTAAAAAAATTTATTATCCCCCCCCCCCCCAGACCAAATTCCTGCGTACGCGCCTGGGTTCATCTTAACCGAAATATAAATTTAACATGCTTACAATTTTAATTTTTGCCTACTTGCGTCAAAAATCTTCAAAAATAATGATTATGACAATTATCTTATGGTACATCTTTATTGAAATTTTAATTTAACTGTTTATAATTTATATTTTTACATATTTGCTTCAAAAAAGTTTAAAACGATTATGATAATTGTTACTCCTCTGTGATACATCTTAACTGAAATTTTAATTTAACATGTTTGCAATTTATACTTTTACCCATTTACATCAAACAATTCAAAAAGTTAAAAAATAACGATTATGACAATTGCCACTTTTCTATTGTTCTTCTTCACTGAAATTTTAATTTGACCGCTTAAAATCTAGAGACGCGCATAAGTGAGTTAGCCTCAAAATTAAAAGAAGCTTTAATTATCCCACCCATAATAATATCTAAATGTTATTTATTATTATATTTATTGGAGTCGACCCTAGTTAGATTTTCGTCCAAAAAAATGACCTAGAATTGGATCAAGTGAAAAAAAGCGTTCCAAACTTTAGGTCTTCTTAAAAAACGACCCATATTTTGGGTCGGGTTAAAAAAACTGCCAAACTTTGAGTAGAAGTCGAAATAAACGACCCGGACTTGATGATAAAACGACCGTACCCAAAATTTATTTGGGTCAGCTATGTTCGAGATAACTCGGCTTAGCTGATTAACGACACTATATTTAAGAATAAAACACCCTAATTTGGAAGTAATAAAAAATAAAAGAATCACCTTCGCCTCCTTCATCCTTTAAATATTCCATTAATACATGATTATCGATAGCTAATTAATGCCCTGGTTAACCCGCGAAAATCGACGACCCGAAAGCACAAATTGGCATTCGAAAAAATTTTGCCCGCCTTGCTGATCAACGTGACAACAAACCAAACCAATTGCTTCGACATTTTATCGCCCCAGAACAAGGCGGCCGTTCTTTGCCTTCTAGATTATGCCATACAAAATCGCAACGCCTTACTGATCAAATTTTTTGGGAACTTATCGATGCACCAATCACTTCGTTTAAACTTTCAGGTTTTATAATTTTTTCTTTTTAAATTGCTTTTTTAAATACTTACTGTAAAAACACATATATTTCAAAGTATAAAAACAATTGTTAAATCAGTATATTACGAACATTAGACAAAGAAAAAAAATCCCCATCGTAAAAAAACACTTTCCCTTTATTTCGAAAGGAAAAATTATTTAGTTGTTGACAAACGTCTATAAATGTCAATTACAAAAATTAAAAAAATAAATGTCTTTATTTTTTCGACCTTTCTTTACACCAATGTCATCAACTGATTTTGCTGATTTTCAGTAGGATAATAAATAATAAATCAAGGAATATATAAAGATTTTGCTTTTTTTTAAAAATTAATGTATCAAATACTCCAGTCAATGTTAACCCATGAGTGGTAAGGTGAAAAACGCTAGTGGCTGGGTGGCCTCCTCCATTTTGAAACTGCTATTTATGGCTCATTCAATACAAATCAGCTGGTGAATTTATATTAGTTTTTTATCCATTTAAAAGAATAAAATAAAAATATTTAAATAACGTCACCAGATAATTTGCACACTGTACCCCCCCCCCCCAATCCTTATATACCGCTCAAGGGTTGAAAAAAGAAATAAGTGCTATTATTTATCACACAATTTACTTTTCTTTCATTTTTATGAAAAAAATAATAAAACGTAGGATCACCTAAAACCCTTAATTATTAGTGTTGTCGCAGCTGATGTAGAGTCATTCAATAACACTTATCAGAACGAAGTCATAGCTTTGATCAATGCCCTATTGGAAGATTTGAATTGCTTTAATTCTTTGACTCGCGCCATTGACAAAGATGTGTCCCTGTTAAATAATCTGGTCACTTTTATAATCGCTATATTGGAAAATGGTAATTTTTTGATTTTTTTTGTAATAGGTGCAATCTTGTCAATGTTATAAAAAATATATTTATTTATTATTTTTGTTAAATTTCGGAAGAGATCTGGAACAAATAATGAAGGCCATTTTTTGAGTCCCTGTTCCCACCCCGTTACTGTCATGAATGTGGAAAAGCACACTTCAAAAATTAACTGCATTGGATCGAATTTATGTTCGATATATTCAATTTTCGAACGAGCCATTGCTACCACCTCTAGTTTTCTTTAATTTAATAAAATTATTCTTTTATTTGTAAAGCGAGCGTAGAAAAGCTTGCTTACAACAGATTTATAGGATTGACGCTTGGATATGTATCAATTAAATATAGTATGATATAACATCATCTGGGATTTTACAAATATTTCGCTAAATAATATTCCTCTCCCTATGAACAGATTTTCCAAGTTATATACCTATATCCTCTATTATTACAAGCTATCTTTTGTAAGATTGCATTTTTTTGACATATTTACATATGTACCATTTTCGTTTTTGAATTTTTTTTATTTAGTCCTGTTTTCAGTGTATAAATATATATTCATATAAAATTATAATATTGGATACAAATTTTTCTCTTTTTTTCCATAAAATTTCAAATAACTTTTATATTTAAAAAAAATGAACTTTTTATCAAATATTTATTACGAATTTTTACAATTGATTAATGATTGAAATACCATATCTCCTAAACCTGAGCTCGGCCTTTCCTTAAATTTTGCCCCTTTGTCCTATATCTATATAAAAAATAAATTTGAAAGAAAAAAAATATTTCTATTTTCGCGTTTTGACATTTAGATTTCTCAAAAACAATATTTAACATTATTAAATAAAAGTATTTTGTTAGATGCCCCCCCCCCCTCTGCTGACTACACATTAGAGTTATTTTTGTATATCGCCATTTTTTTCGAAACATTTCCTTCGTAGTTTTGATATTCGTTTAAAGAATGTTTATTTCCTTTTATAAAAGAAAGAAAATTTTGATATAGACTTTTAAAACAAATTCCTATTTTAGCTTTTCTAAATCCTGTTTTTTTTAAAAAATTGTTTTAAAAAATTTTTTCAGGTTTCGATTTAGCGAAAACAGGATTTTCTCCAACTTAGTTCATGACATTTTTTAAAAAATAATTGACGTGAATATAATTATTCATTTCCTTGAATAAAAATCAGATGGTGACGCGCCATTTTGATTTCTTGTAGAATCTTGATTATTTTTTAAAAAAGGTTTTCATAAAATTTTAATCTACAAATTGTTTATAAATCGAGATGGCGTACCACCGGAAAAAACCTTCATGGGCCTTATTTTGATCAAGCCTGACCCAGGGCCGCATTGGAAAAATTTTTTCGACCTATATTTAAAATTTTAAAAAATTCTCAAACCCATCATAAATTTCAAAAATTTAATTTTTTGTATTTCATTAAAATATACAATATTAAAGTATTTAAGCATTCATTTTATTTAAAATACTGAAGTTTATTATCATAAGAAGAAAAAAGTTGAAATATTTTTTTTAAATGTTAGCAAGTGTTTTAAATAAGTCAAATTTAAATTTAAAAAATTTAAGCCCAAGCATGCACTAGCCAAAAAATTCTTCAAAATCCCAGGACCGCTAGAAAATATAATATTAGACTGCATGCCAGCCCACCCCATGAAGATCTATGACCACCAGCTGATTTGTACTGATATACATTTAAATGAATGAATCGTCAATCTATGTATTATTATGTCATTGGAGCATACTAAATATTTTATTATTCATTCAATCTTAATACAACTTGATTTAATTGCAAATATTATATATTTTTTAGTAAGATTAGATATTATTTTTTTATAAAATTATATAATATTTTTTGGCCATGAAATCTAAGTTTTGAATAAAACATTGATTAATTTACCATTCGCTAAATATGCTAATTTGACTTGGCTAAATTCATGAAGAGTAGGCCAAAAGTATCAGAACTTTTGCACTGGAGGCTAGAAAAATTTTCCTCATTAAAATCAAAATGAATATTTTATTCTTGAGTCATACATTAACCTTAAATATTTTTATTAATCAATAGAGAATCGGGATTCTATTGTCTATTTAGCGTTAAATTTGATAGCGAACCTTTAATAAAAATTTTCATAACTGAATCATGTTAAAAATTTTTGACAGATTCAAAATTATTTTTTAATTGGGGAAAAAATTACTATTACTAATATTATTTATATTTTAAAACATTTATCATAAATCACCTAGTTATCTCTTTTTTTAAACAGATAGAAGTAAAAATGACGACTTTTTGCTCCTAAACACCGTAGTCTTGTTGAACGTTTTGATATCTAAGGATTTTTCCTTTGCCACCCTTTTCGTCCAACAAAGAATCTTAAATATTTTATCCGATTTGATGAAATGTAATAAAAAATTATACCTTGAATAAATAGAAAAATGCTGAAAAGAATATAAACCTGATTTAGCATTTATTTAATATTTGTCATTTTTCACTTAAAAAAATAAATAGCGAAACAAGAGGATGACGAGTTCGTGTGCCAATTAGTGTACGCGTTTTATCGTATGATGCATTACGATTACATACAGAAAGAGATTATCAATCATGAAAGTTAAGTAATATTTTATCTTAATCTTGTAACATTATAAAAAAATATATAGTGTTAAATATATATTTTGAATGACAAAACTTTTTCTTTTTAAATGAAATGACCTTTTCGCAATTCTTCCTTTTTCGTTTTTTTTGAAATAGATTTATATAACCTTTTAAAAACTTATATGTAAAAAACTTACTTGTAAAAATGTATATAAAGACTGTAAATTTTCAGTGTAGAGAGATATAAAATAAAATAAAATAAATTTAAAATATAAATTTTTGGTGCCTCCATTAAAATTTATTATGGTGGCAGAATATTTGATTATTATAACGTTACCAACCGAAATGTGTATAAAAATTTTTTTTGATAACAATAAAAGAGATTAAACATACAAATTACACGAAAGCAAGACTATTATTCTAATACGATACGATAGACTGGAGGATATGCAACAGGCCTATAGACTCATAAATGGAAAGCAATACATTGACGCCAATGGGAGATTATTTATATTGAAGGCAAAACGATATCAAAGACATTAAAGAAACTATCAATATTAGTCGTATTGTATTTAAATAAATATATATATAAAATAAATTATAATTATAAAATATTGATATGATATAATAAAAGTATAATGAAACCTTTAATAAACATTAAAAATACTATTAAGACAATCTTTTAGCAAGCTCAATTCCATCTCCATATTTTTGTACGTTTTATTTTTTATCGGGTTGTTACTCCTAATATTATCAATTATTTCCATTAATTCTTCATCCTTATTTGTTTCTTTAACTATTCTATTGAAGTTTTTTGGGATGTCCCATAATTTGTCATCAATTTTTTCACCTTCTATAATCTTTATCGCACTTTCGGTATTTGTTAATGGTAATCTTGATAAACAATCTGGCACTAAATTCTGTTTCCCCGGTCTATGTATTATTGTGTAATCATAAGTTCCCATTGCTAAATTCCACTTTTGTAATCGCATTGATATTGAAGTATTTTCTTTGAGTGTTTTTGAAAACATATATTAGCGGTTTGTGATCTGTTATTATCGTAAATTTTGTCCCAATCAAATATTCTTGAAATTTTTTCACTGCATATATTATAGATAGAACTTCTCTTTCAATATTTGTATAATTTGTTTCAGCTTTCAATAAAGTTCTCGACGCAAATGCTATAGGTTTTTCTTTACCATCGCTTTCAATGTGAAATAATACTGCACCTAATTCTTTTTCCGAAGCGTCAGTAGCAATTCTTTTAGGCAATTCAGGATTGTAAAAATTTAGAGTTGGCGGACTACTAATCAACGTTTTCAAATCATCAAAACTTTTCTGATGTGCATCTTCCCATATCCACTTTTCTTTGTTAACGATTTTACATAACGGGTCTGCTAAAGCAAAGTTACACAAAAATTATCTGTAATAACTGGCCATGCCTAAAAATGTTGCTAACTCCTCTTTTGTTGTTGGTTTTGGCATGTTTGTAATGGTTCGGATGTATGCCTTTTTCGTCTATATCATGTCCCAAAAATCTTATCTCCTTCTTCATAAACACACTTTTGTTAAAGTTTGGTGTAAGTCCATATTTTGTTATTTTGTCGAAGACTTTTATTATGTTGTTGAGATGTACTGTATCATTATCACTAGTTATCAGTAAATCATCTATGTAAAATATTATATCCTTCATATCTCCAAAATTTTTATCCTACATTGGAAAATTGCTGATGACGTTTTAAACCAAAAGGTAGCCTCCTAAATCTATAATAACCTTTGTGTGTTGATATTGTAAGTAAATCTCTAGATTCTTTATATATTGGTATTTGAAGAAACGCGTTTTTGAAGTCGATTTTTGTAAATTTTTTTCCTTTCGATAATTTTGAAATTAAATCATTAATACGTGGTATCGGATATTTAAAGTCCTTTAATACAGGGTTTATCGTATTTTTAAAATCAGCACATAGCCTTAGTGATCCATCACTTTTATAAACTGGAGTGAGTGGACTTGCCCATCGTACTTCATCTACTGGTTCTATTATCTTATCATTTTTGTAATTCTTTTGTTATTAAATCAAGTCTTTTCTATGGAACGCGTCTTGGTGGTATAATTTTTGGTTTTGCATCTTGTTTCAAATGTAACTTAACATCACTTCGATATATAGGTTTTTTGTTAATTTTTGAGTTGCATTCTTTCATCAACTTTTCTAACCTGTCACTATTATTTTCCTCGATTTATGTTTCTGAAAACTTTTATTCACGTCCTTCCCAGAAGTGCAATCTTGTCACTTTGGACTACATTTTAAGTTTTGCCTTCATATATCGCTTTTATTTGAACAATTCCTAACACCTCTATTCTTTTTCCATCATAGCCAGTAAGTTTCGTATCCGATTTATTTAAGACTTTGATTCCTATCTTTCTTGCAATATTAATCGGCAATAATGAATACCTCGAGCAGGTGTCGATCTGCTTGACTTTCGGTATATCATTAAGGTATATCGTAACTTTGTAAGCGTCATTTGCCTTGTCATCATCATCCATATTATTCACGTCAACGTTAAATAAACTGTGTTCCTTTTTATCATTATTATCCTCTTTTATTTCTTCTATATCAACGGTATTTATATTATTCGAATATCTGGATTGATTATTATTATTGCCTCTATATCTGTTGTTGTATGACTGATTATTGTTTTGATTATTATTGTATCTTGGTATGTATCTCGATTCGTTTTGATGTCTATAATATGATCTTGGCCCATTATACCCCCTTTCATTATCGTAAACTCTTGGATTATAATTTCGATATCTTGGTTCATAATTATTTGAATGTCGCGAATTAAAATTGTTTTGATATCGTGGATTGAAATTGTTTTGAAATCGCGGATTAAAATTATTTCCTTGATAATTGTTTCTTTGATAATTATCGTACCTAGGTTTCCATTGATTTCTGTATACGTTATTCGTTTGCGCATTAATCCTTTTATTGTGATCATCGTATTTCATCATTCTTCTATCCGTATCCATTTGTTTAACTCTCTGCATCTCTATTTGTCTTATTTCCGTAGTGTCTCCTTCTATTTTTATGTTATCAAAATTATTTAATCATACTCTTCCTCAATCTCCCTATTTTTATTATCTCTAGTATATCTATACTTTCTATATGTGAAATTTTCTGACGTATCTCTTTATTAGTTGAAAATATTTTTATTTTCTCGATTGCTCTATACTGAATCTGTATTTATTACTTAACATACATAATCTAGTTACCCAATTACTGAATGTTTCATTTTTATCTTGTACCACTTCACTAAATTTTTTTAGATACGTTATATACGATTTGTCTGGGTGTAATAGTTTAAATCTTTCAAGTACGATTGACGGATTGCAAAATTCTGTTGGAGTACATATTGCTTCTAGTTTCAGGTATTCTTCTTCGGGTAATTTTTGCGTGAATGCGTATGCTTTTTCTGCATCAGAAAATTGTGGACCCTTAAAAATATTATCAAATTTAAAAACTTCAACATTATTATTATAATTTGGACATTCAATAATAGTATTTTTAATGTTTATTAAAGGTTTCGTTATACTTTTATTATATCATATCAATATTTTATAATTATAATTTATTATATATATATATATATATTTATTTAAATACAATACGACTAATATTGATAGTTTCTTTAATGACTTTGATATCGTGCCTTCAATATAAATAATCTCCCATTGGCGTCAATGTATTGCTTTCCATTTATGAGTCTATAGGCCTGTTGCATATCCTCCAGTCTATCGTATCGTATTAGAATAATAGTCTTGCTTTCATGTAATTTTTATGTCCTATCTCTTTTATTGTTATCAAAAAATTTTTTATACACATTTCGGTTGGTAATGTTATAATAATCAAATATTCTGCCACCATACCGATTTAATGTTCCTCAAGGATCAAAATTTTAAACGTTATTTAAGCAGGAAATACAAAATACATTTAACGACACTTGGCTCTAATTACAAATCTTTTTTCTACAGGTCCATCTTTTCTATCATTATATGTTTAAAAGAAAAGCTGACCTTGGTTTTGTTAAAATTTCTATGAACTGGACCAGGAGATGTACGTACAAAAAACGTTAAATCGGGATTTTAAAGCTATTTTTCATAAGGCTTTTGAATTATTTCTTTTTTAAAATTTATTTTCGTATTATTGCATCACGCTCAAATTTTAGGTGTGGTTCCTATCATTATTGATTTGATGAACGATAAGAATCTATTTATCAAGCAAATATGTAATTCTACGTTAAATATAATATCTGTAAGTATTTTTATTTTATTTTATTTGATTTATTTTTTCTTAAAAAAGAATTAAGGCTGTGTCCTAGGTCGGCTTAATTGAATGCCTATTGCTTTTTAGTATAGGCTAAAAAGTTTTGTTTTTGAACCAGAATACCCTATTTTGGTTTGTTTTAAGTATGAATAGTGAACGTCATGGTCCGGACCATGGTTTTTTATAAAAATATCTATCCAGAAGGTACTTCTAAATCCTAAGATAAAAAGATCCCTCAGGACTTGTGGTCCTCAGAATAAAGATCGATCAAGCACTAAGTACGAACAAGTTCGTCTTTTAAAATGGTATACTAGCCATCGAAAAACCAATTTTTTTTTGAATGTGTCTTATAATTGCTCATAATTTTTGTTTTAGATCTAATAGTAAATAACATAGAATAAAAATGTTAGAAATACATACAGCTTATAATATAATTTTATAATAAATTTAATTTCTATGCACAAACATACATAATTGTGTTTATTTTAATATAAAAGTGTCGACATTACCACATCCTGATATGATAGCACTATTGTAATAAATAGATTAACAACCAATCTCATTTGATTAACTTATAATATATATAAATTAAACCCTATTATTCTAATTACCTATCCAGTACTATTTATGTCTGCCTAGCAATCCGAGGTTTAGCTCATATTTTGTAAGGTAAAATTTTTCCATGTTTTTTAAAAAAAATGAATTTGATACAAAGTAGTAAAATAACGCAAGTTAAATAGAGATATAATTTTGCAAAAAACACTATTATTAGTTACTTTCAAATTTGATAAATGCACATAAACACTATAATTAAATACATTTTTAAAAAATATAACCACCGAATTAACTCGCTACTTTTCAAATATATTTCATTCATTATATTTAAACTCAAATTAAAAATCAATTATATACATCTTTTTAAGTTTTAATAAAATTTATTACATAAAAATTAAAATTATTTGTTAATCATGTATTTTTTTGGATCAAATAATTATCATATTTTCATTTATATTCTCTAATGGTTAGGAAAGAATCACAAATACGTTTTACCGACGTAACACGTCCATCCCAATTGTAACTTTTCTATCCAAATTATTTTAAACAAAAATCGAGCGTTGCTAAATATTAAAAATTGTATATTGAATAGCATGCTTAAAATCTTAATTTCCTCTTACTTTTTTGGCTATTTAGTCGAGGCGCAGTCATATTTAGAATATAATTAAAATATTCATCCTCATATATTTATAGAATTTTATGTCATCATATAATAATTGCTAAATTAATTTTGAAACCATCCTCTATCATGTCGATTCAAATATATATGATTTATTTGAGATCTTTTTTGCTAATCAGCATAGGTTGCTAGAGCATAGATATATAGTGGAACTGTTCAATAAAATTATTTCTTATATTTTAAGTTATAAAAAAATGCGTCATTGAGTATAAAGTTAGAAAATTGAGATAAATTACAAATAAAGCAGACGATATAATATTTAGTTGGTATCTTTTAATCTCATGACTTAGACCGATGTTGATGTTATGTTTAAAATCTAAATTAAAAAAAATCTAAAATCGGATGAATATTATAAATCAGATTTAAGTATATTATAAAGAAAAAATTTCAAATAGTGGGATAGAAAAGTTGCAATTGACTCTTTCCCAACCAATAGAGCATCTAAAAATATATATTTTAACAAATAATTTTTAATTTATTAATAAATTTTACTAGACCTTAACTAAAAGATGTGCACTTTTTTTTTATCTAAAAACAGATAGAAGTGTATATAATTGGTTGTAATTTTTAATTTGGGATATCATACAAATATAATGAATGAAGTATATTTGATAAGTAACTAATTAATTCGATCCAGCATCTACATGACAGGATTTTCACTGGATGCAAACCCCCCTCAAAAACCTTTGCCTACCTCCTTAAAAAATTCCCGCCGCTTTCGGCGGCGATGCCTCTTTATCATTATTTTCACCTATTTATTTATTGATACTCTTTTCAAATAATTTATAAAGGATAACTTAAATTAATCTATCTCTACTACCAACTATCGATATTTTGTGAATATTAAGAATTTATTTTTTAGATAATAAATTTAATTAAAACCTCCATTATTTACAATGAATTAATTATTATGGCATTATGAGCTTGCTGAAATATCTTAACCTTTTAAATTATATTTAAAAGGATAGTTTATTTGGAAAACAATCTGTATGATTGTTTGCAATATATAGATTTGGTCGATGAATTGTATTATAATAATACTATAATAAAAGTAATAATTTTTACAGCAATAAATTTTATTATTTCATCTCAAAATTCAATAGATAACCCCCCAAAAATTTTTATCCTACCCCCATTAAAACAGCTTACCCCCTACCCCCTCAAAAAAATAGGATGCAAACTGTTCCTACCCCTCCCGCTCATGTAGACGCTGATTCGATCATTATATTTAAAAAAATGCAACTAATTATAGTGCCTATGCCTTAATCAAATTCGAAAGTAACTACTTATAGTGATTTTTTTACAAAATTATATCTACAATAAATCTAACTAGCATTAAAAATACCAATAAAATTTAAAAAATTATACAATTCCCATATTATTTTAATATTTCTTATCAAATTCATTTTTAAAAAAATATACGAAAAAATTTCACTTCAAGATATTAACCATTGACTTCGGATTGTTAGACAGACACCAATAGTACTAGACTAGACGAGCTATTAATATAAAATGCTTTTAATTTGTATATAAGTTATTCAAATCAAATTTGTTGTTAATCTACCTATTATAACATGATGTGGAAATGTAGATACACCTTTACATTAAAATAAACAATATATATTTGAGCATAAAAATTTACTTTATTACAAAAATGTTTATTAAATACTGCACCTATTTCTTATTACTAAGCTGAATAACATTTTTATTCAATAATTATGTTATTTAATATTCAATTTTCTTCCTATTTAGATCTAAAACATGTTATGAACAATTAAGACACATTCAAAAACAAAATCGATTTTTCGATGGCTTTTTATACTTTTTAAAAAGTCGAACTTGTTCTTAAAACACGAAATTAAACCGACCGCTTTCAGAATTAAAAAAAATGCTCAGTTTAGAATTTTTACTGAATTTCATATCTATTTTTCTTAAATATCTAAGACGATTTTTTGAGCGTTTATACTTGAACAATTAGTATTTTTTTCTGCGCAATTAAGTTTTTTATTTTTAAGAAATAATTCTATTATTCTGGGTTTTCATTTCATTTTTAATTTTGAGCTATTAAATTAGAGGCAAAAATAATTATTCAATTTCCTACTTTATTTTAGCAAGCTTAAATTTAGAAATATAGAGCAATAGGAAGTGTAAGAAAAAAAATTCACGGGGATTAATCTAAAAAAAATATTAATTTTTCTCTCGAATATATCTAGATTTTTTTAAAAAAATTAAATAAGTGTTCTGGAATTCGTGAGAAATTCGGAATCTTTCATTTTTGAATTATTTTACGAATGCAATTTAATAGTGCGCACAAATTGAGCGTTGCAACGCTCCGTTTTAAAAGCTAATAATGCATTTTAGATGGTATTGTGCAAATTGGATTTTTTTACGGCAAGCGTTAAAAAAAGCAAACTGGTTTGATTTTTTTAATGCTTTTTTAATTTTGCGCTAAAATTTGAAAATGGATACAAAATTGTAAGGATAATTTATCTCATATATTAATCGATATTATATCATTTAGAATATATTAATTGATATTTATATAATTTTAGAATATATTAATTATATTTTAGAATATATTTATATAATTTTAGAATATATTAATTGATATTATTATTTGAATAAATTTTAGATATCAACCATTAGTTTAAGGTAAAATATGAACAGTGATAAATTATATTTTTATTAGCATGGAGATGGAGTTTCCACAGCATGATACAACTGTATCATAAAGAAGTTGAATATATATATATATATAAAATTCATGAAGCCAATGATAAAGGACAGAAAAACTACTGACAATTTTAGTCCTAAAGAAACTACACCAAAGACTAATGGTTTAAAAATAAATGCACTCATGGGTGAAAGACTTTTGGCTCTTTTGGAAAAGGTGCCATCTGAAAGCCAGTAAAATATATTTTTTTGTCTATAAATTTAATATTATTTTAGATTTTATCTACAATCAATGGCAGAAGGCTTGGAAAGTATGAGCCTTTCAAATAAATACTTTTTCAATTGTGTAGTATCAAGATTGTATCATACTTTGATGGAGCAATCAAAGGATCAAAATACTATAGAATTTTCACCAACAAATTCAACAGAAACAACTTTAAATCAAACATTAAATAAATTTTATCTTAGTTTATTTATTTTTGTAAATATGTTTATTTATATATAATAAAGTAATATTCCATATTATAAAGTAATATTCCATATTATAAAGTAATATTCCATATTATAAAGTAATATTCCATATTATAAAGTAATATTCCATATTATAAAGTAATATTCCATATTATAAAGTAATATTCCATATTATAAAGTAATATTCCATATTATAGTGTCCATTTTGAAAAATATAAATAAATAAGCAAACTATTCAAAATTTATTTAGCATTTTTAATAAAATATATAGATTATTATAAATATATTAAGGTAGGATAAACAAATAAATATTATAATAATCAAATTATGAAATGAGATTGTGTAAACAGTTATGAAAATCCAATAAATAAAAAAATCAGGAGTAACATGATTGGAAGAAGTTACAATTAAGATCTAATAGTGTATATATATTATAAATTTTGACACAATAATTAATTATTGAGATCAAAATTTGAAGCCTTTCTAGGATTTCAATTCATTGACATATAATTTAGCCAATATTATCTTTAGAAATTAAATAAAATATTATGTATATAAACAGAATAATAGTGTTTGATTTTTTAAGATATTGACTATTTATATCTTACTATGTTTTATTGAGCTAACAATATTATATTTTGACATCATCTTATGTGATTATAATAAAAAAATTCAAAAACCAATTAAATAAAATTGTGCAAGATGGTATGATTATACTATTTTAATAAGATATTTAATATTCTTACATATATTTTTATTATTAAAGAATTGAAAATGTAATTAAATTATTTTATTTGCATTATTTGTAAATTATAATGTTCTCCTCATCCTTGTATAATTAAAATAAGCAATTAGTTGCTTATCTTGTAAACTAAAGAAATCCATATTGTTTAATAAAAATTAAATCACGTTTCAATTTTAAAACAAGGAAAAAACGTACTGCTTTCAATTTAAACAAAGATGCGTTGCGTTAAAAAACGTACTGCAAACGCAAACGCTCAATTTGTGCGCACTATAATATATTCCAGCTGGATAGATTAGCTACAAATTTCAGATAATTTTATAAATATTTATTTAATTTATATATCTATTTTTACAATATAAAAAATTACACAACGATATTCGCAGGGTATTCCAGGAATATTTACTCACATAATATACAATTTATAATAATGAACTCTTTAACATATGTTTAATTTAGGTGTTGGACCCAGAAAATTGGGGACGCGTGATTAAAGAAGAATTTTTTATAAGACATAATGCTTTTTGGTTGGAAATGGTGAATGAAACACCCAATATAAATGGCGACTAAAGAAGAAGATAATTAATGATCATTCTATAAATTTTAATCAATTCAGACTAGCCAATGATCAGAATTATATTTAATACATGTAAAAGACGTTACATTATCTGCTTTTGTGTCATTAAAATAATTTATTCCATTTTTTTATATTAGCAATGAAAAGTATCTGTGCAATATACTAAATGTAAATCTATTAATATCGTTTTTTTTATAATTATACATTCCAAATAAATTGTTCCTTGAAATCCTTTTTAGGTTTCTAAAAAAGTAAAGTTTAAGATTTAAATTTAATCGTCGATAAATTAAATCCTGTCAGAATCCAAAAAAATTTTCTTTGATGATGTTAAATCTTTGGAACACTGCCTTTGTGTTAAGTTGTGCCACCAATGTATTGTTAGATAATTTTAAAGATGTGTTTAAGATGTTTTATTATTGTTTACTTTGAAAGCTAAATTTATTAATCAAGGTTTATTTCTCAAGTTCTTCGGCCTCTCATGCACTCAGCAAATGCATTACAAATACAAAAAAACGAATAGATTTTTAAATCTTATTTAAATAATTTATATTTTAAAGTATCGAACTATAGTACCTTTAATATGAATTGCACTGACCCTAATTTGAACTAGGTTTAAATGACAAAACCAGGTTTGTAATCGGTTTAACAAAAAAGCAGAGGTTGTTACTTATCGTAGGTTTGGTTAACAAACTTACTAAAATGGAAAATAATATTTATCAATTTTTGTTGTTATTAAACACAATATCTTTATGAAATTCTTTTTTTGATCCAAAAAAAATATATTACAATTTATAATTCAAACTAAAAAAATACAAATAGGATGTGTGAAAATTTGAATAAGAAATAACATTTTTATATGGCTTTGATAAATGTATGTAAATAAGAGATCTTTATTTATTTTAAGGAGATTTCTTAAAATTCAGATAGTTAAATATTTTTGTGTTATATAGCCCGCTATTTCGCGTGCACCAGATTTCTCGTATATAATTCTCAAATTATAAGCGATCTCTTTTGTCATATCGACGCACCCGTTATCATAATCACCTGTGGATAGTTTGATAGGACCACATTTCAAAGCCCTTTCATAGTATACCATAGCCAGGGAAGTCAAATCTATTTGATGAAAGGAGCGAGCAATGTTATAATAAGATTCCTGACATGGTCCACGATAGTGTAAGTAAATTGAAAAACAGATAAAAGCGTAAGTCAGGGGTAACATGATTAAAGGAACGTTGGTGGCTACAGGGAAAAATTTATTGGCGTTGGGTGCGGTTAAAGCGTTGAGTAGTTTTTTCAAACCCGAACTCTCGATTATATTGTCACGTATATAATAAGGTTGGTGGCAAGATATATTTAATAGCGTAGTTCCCAACATTAGAAAAATCAATGGTCTGGCGTGCTCATTACCTTTTAAAAGTATATGCGAGTTCGTTTCGTCCAAGATCATGGATAATACGTTCTTTAACTCTGATAAGGCGATTCCATAGCAACCAGTAGCCAAGTTGAGACAAGCGTATGCTAACGAATAAATAAAATATACGCGCTTTCCACTTTTGAGATTATTTTGGTAATCATTCGTTTCCAATAATCTAAGCCGCTTCAATATAAACATAATTATCGGTTTATGCGCTTTGGCCATGTGAGCTAAATTTTTTTTCTCATTGATCGTATATAAATTGCTGTATTTATTTGTAGAAAAGTAACTACTAAATTTATTAACGTATTTAGGCCTTAAAGTGTACATCAAGATATTCATGAACGTTGCGTGAATATCCAATATTTGATCATTTATTAAGCATTGATCTACGTTCGGGGATAAATTATAATAGAATATCTTGTTGGAATTAGGATCCATCTCCATTAAAATGAGTACCGATTTAATAATGTCTATGGCGTAATGCCATCTTCTAGATCTGATTGTTAGTAATAGAAGATTTAGACGGATATTTTTACGATAATTACGACCGCTGAACGCGTTAATATTGGCTGATGCGCAAATAAACAAAAAGAAAATATTATCAATCGCGTGGTCGCTATGGTCGGCTAATAGTTCTTTCACCAAAAGACCGAATAATTGATTCATCTTAATGCCTACTTTGGTTCCGAATCTTATATTGAGAATTTCTTGCGCTCCCATCTCTTTGACCTCATCATCGAGAGACATTACCGTGGAATCGTGATTGATTTGAGGCATACGAGCCGGTACTACTAATTTTTTCCGCTCCTTGACTTTACCGAGCTTAATTTCTGCGAAATGCATGGTTTCCAAAACAATATTTCTTCGGGACATAGAAGTCGAAGAAATCTTGAGGCTATCAGAGGCCATAGAAAAAAAAGTTGAAATACCGAGGCTTAAAAATCGGTCGCGATTGGGAGCAGAAAAAGATGATGTAGGGTACTTGAGGCACTCGTGTAAACAATCATTAAATAATTCTTGGTCTTGCATGAGATTCGAAAAAAGTTCCAACGTTATATTATCAGATGGGAAAGGAGGGCATTCCTCAAAATCTTCGTTTTTATAGGAAGTCATGCCAAGATTTTTGTCATCATAATTTCCCTTTGATGTAGAGTAGACGTTCATTAAATTCGATTTTATGGCGCTGATGTTAGGATAAATGTTTTTATTTTGCACCTTTAAAAGTTCTGCTTCTAGAGTTTTTAATTTAAAACGGGTGATTTGATGTTCTGGGGCTAAACTGACCACTTTTTTCATGGCATAATAAGCCTTTTCAGTTTCGTTAAAGGATTCCAGCGTTTCGGAATAGGAGAGCCATATTCCGGGTACGCTGCTATAAATAGTCGGATTTTCGATGTAGTCATAATCTATTTCAAACTCATCTGATTGAGGTTGATCATCCTTAGGGGTTTTGTCGAAATCCTGCTTAATCCCTAATAACCGGTGATAAAGTACTAAAGCTTTTTCGAGGAACTTTTTATTTCTATCTAAGTTTGAATCGCAGCATGTTTCACAATTTTTACCAGCCCCTTCTTCGAAACTCATCTTATAGGCTTCGATTAAATCGATGTATAGATCACCAAAGAGATTGGGATCCAATTCAATCAGCGATCTTTCCGAATGGTTTGTTATATTATCGTAATAGGGAGTCCTAAAATGGTGATATTTTTCGGCATGCAAATATGGAGAGGCGAATTTTTGTAAATTTATTATACTAATGGCTAATTCGTTTTGAAAATCTATGGGGAAATTATCGGGAATGATAACATCGTTAATCCCGCCATCATTTTTATCCGTGTGTTGGTTACCATTTGATAAGAGCGAAGCTGATATTAAATCGATACCACAAAAATTCCCCAAAATGTCTAAAACATTTATGAATCGTTTGGTGTTGACCTGGACGAAATTTTAAATAAAATAGACATAAAGGGTGTGATATTATTAATTATTTCTCAATTGTTTATTAAATAGCAGGTTTTATAATATACTTACGCTGGGGTTTGGTCTAAAAAGTCGACTAAACTAGCTCTGAGCATAAACCCTGAAGGCGCTCTCCGAAATAGAAATCTGGAAAGATTCACCCAATTTAAAAAAATTTTTTCAATTATAAAAATAAATTTCTCCCAAAATTTTTAAAAATCTAGTATACATTTCAAATTTATAATGAGTCTAATATAATTGTATAATCGTTCTATATTTAGTCGTTTTAGCTACTATTTTAACAGATTAAAAAATAGATACCCGAGTAGAGAATCATTGCCTCACGCTGCATTCTTAGTTAGCTCGGTGCGAACCGATGCAGAGTAGAGGCGGGTTTTTGGATCATAAGCCTGCCCAAATGTTTTAAAAAAATTTAATCCCCCCAGCCCATAGTTAAAAAAAATATATATCCGCCCGCCAGCCCGCCCATTATTCTAAAATTTTTTACCCGCCCACTCATTATTTATAAAAAATTTATAACCCAAGCCCGCGCTATTATCATATTTAATTATGGCCATTCTTTCAATTTTTTAAGCATCTAATAAAAAAAAAATTTCAGCATTACACCTCTATAAAAAGTTTTTAGGAAATTACTATATTAAACATAAAAAAATATTCAATTTATATTATGGATAATTTAGTTGCAAATAAAATATTTATGAAAATAATATAAATATAAAATTGATATTATATATAATTAATAATGCAAAAATAATAATGAATCGACATTTTCTGAATTCAAGCACGTTTTTCTTTGTTTTAAAAAATTTCCAGCAATAATAAATCCTCATCAGAAGAAGCACTAGTTGCAGGAATTGCCAATATTTTTGCTAGTCATGATAGCTTTGGCAAATCTCTTTTTTGTCGTTTCCATCAAAGTAGTTTTATAAATATAAAAAAAGATTTATTTATTTTACGAAAAATGTTTTTATGATACCAAAAAAGGACATTTTAATTATATCCAAAAAAATTCATAGGAACAATTTTTTATAAATATTTACTTAAATGATTTTAAAATTTTTTAACCTGCCCGCCCATTGTTTAAATTTCTTAACCCTCCCACCCACCCAGTTATAATTTTTTTGGGCACAAACCCCGCTCAATGCAGTCCTCTTATGAAGTCAGTCTATTCATTTGATTCTTTGAAAATATAGCTCAATTAGCTTAACTTGCATCACAATGGTTAGCAGATTTAACGCGGGGCACGCCAGTATTATCATAGTTATATCTTTTGTCCTAGTTGGACTAAATTAATTAGGAATTTAGTCAACGAATTTCGTATTAATATTATTAAGCGTTTAGTAACTAATTTTCGTTAAACAAATTTTGGGATCTTATGTTTTTCGTAAACTATGTTAAATGAATACTTTTGAGTTTATCGATGTCAAAGCTCAAAATTTATCATGAACCAAAAAATTGCTTATATGTATGATATGCTCAAAATATAATTTAATAGGTTAAAATTATTTTCTTTAATAAAATGTAATTTAAGGATATACCACATATATTCTAATGATAAATACCAAAACCTGCAAGTCCAGCTCGGGTATATGGGCCCGTATCACGTCAATACCGCGAAACTTTTACCGCGAAATGTATTATCGCGAATGCATTATCGCGAATGTCGATTACCGCGAAAAGATATTATATATCGCGAATGCATCATAGCGAATATATTAGCGCGAATGCATTATAGCTAATGCATTACCGCGAAAATATTATAGCGAATGCATTACAGCGAATGTAATACCGCGAATGCATTATCGCGAATGCATCATAGCGAATGTATTATCGCGAATGTATCATAGCGATTGCATTATCGCGAATGCATCATAGCGAATGCAATATCGCGAATGCATTACAACCAACATTATCACAATGCAATAGTGATTTATATTTGACAAAATTATATTTAACCCATTTCCCAAAAAACCAGCTTAATTGTCTATATTTATTTAAAGTAGCGTTTTAAAATTATTTACCTCTAAAACACGTCGTTATTTATGAAATTCGTATTTTATTTAAAAATATGTGGAATTTGGTATACTCAATTTTTTTAACGATTAGATTAAGTCGTTTTTTACAAAAGACCCTATTAATAAATATTTTATATTTTAAGATTGATTCTAGTAAAAGTTAATTTTCGCCCCAACAAGCCCCAAACCCCAGGCTTGTAGATTATATTGGTTTATTAAGTCTCCTATAGGATAATTGTTATTATCAATAATACACCATTTGTATATAAATAATTTATAAAAAATTTCAAAATGTGATATTTTATTTTAAAAAATGTTTAAGTTTTAATGAATTTTTTAATTTTTTTCTAATTCTTTTGATTATCAACCACCAGAAAAGGTGAAAGTTAAAGGGGAAAAAAATAGAATTTAAAGCTATAATAGTAGCCAATGAATACTTATTATATCATTATAATTAATTCGACCTAATTCTACTAGCCCCTAGTTACTGATATGATTTACCCTTTCCAGCGCTAAAAAAATATGTTGATAATTTTTAAAATTTTTTAAATAAGATTAGATGAAGGGGAACATTGGATTGAGACCTCTATCTTATTAAATCTTTTGTAATCGTCATTAATTTTATAGCTTTAAAACATAAAATCTTATCTTTTTTAAATTTAAACATTGTTAAATTTAAAAATAATAAATGCCAACTCCTGTTTCAAATATAAATCTTAAAATGATAAAAAATATATTTATAATCTTAAAAACATTTTGTCTGGTTCATAAATAATTTTACGCCATTTTAAAATTATTTTTAAATATATTTTGCCTATAAAAATAAAAAATTTATTTTTTATATCAAATTTATGTCTAATTTTAATTATGATTAATGATAATATAGATATATATATATTTTTAAGGAAAAACAAATTACTAAAATAACTATATTCACATATATACAAATGAGAGGTTTTCTTAATAATAAAATGACCATATAATAATTATTAAAATGACCACATAAAAATATATTAAAATAATAATTATTCAAATGACCACATAAGAATATATAAAAAAATAAATATTCAAGTGATCACATAAAAAATATTTTAAAAAATAAATAAATAAAAAAAAGATCAAAAATTTCCCCGTGATTCAGGTAGTTACCCCTTTATCAACGCCAAAAAAATTATATTATTAATATTTAGCTATTTTTTACAGTACTGACAAAATTGAATTTAACATATTTCAATGTCATAATTAGTAATAAAATAAATAATATAAATGTCGTAAATTAATATACCTATGTTCTTCGGCTGCATTTTTTAGCTCTGATTATTTAAAGCCCTGCCCTAAATTTTCAAATTTCGTTATTTTGAATATTTTCTCTGTATTTTATAAATTGTTTTATACGGAATTTAAGATAAGTAAATAATATTAAAGCATAATTAAAATGTTTTTCACAACGGCATAAAAATATGGATTTGTGGCCTTCTGTCTCTCTTAAAGTTGAAATTGTTTTAAACTGTATCATGAATAATAAACCAATTTGCACAGTGAGATAGAAATAATTAAATAGACAGAATATGAAATTAAAAAATCTTCTTTTCCCATTTCAGAAAGTCTCATAATCATTATGTTTAAAAATATTTATTGTAGGCATTCCCTTTCAGGCAGAATAATATGATTTGAAAATAACTTACAAAATATTAAATTTGAACTAAATTTACATATCATCTCTATTGAAACCACCAAAATATATAATTAAATATATTTTTTATCATTTTAAGATTTATATTTGAAACAGGAGTTGGCATTTATTATTTTTAAATTTAACAATGTTTAAATTTAAAAAAGATAAGATTTTATGTTTTAAAGCTATAAAATTAATAATTTTGACAAAAGATTTAATAAGATAGAGGTCTCAATCCAATGTTCCCCTTCATCTAATCTTATTTAAAAATTTTTTTGCCAGATATGGCTTGGGGGAGGGTTGTATTACAACCACTTATTTTTTTAAAAATATTTATGAAAAATTTTAAACCATTTACTATAATAAAAAGAAAAAATTATCAACATATTTTTTTAGCGCTGGAAAGGGTAAATCATATCAGTAACTAGGGGCTAGTAGAATTAGGTCGAATTAATTATAATGATATAATAAGTATTCATTGGCTACTATTATAGCTTTAAATTCTATTTTTTTCCCCTTTAACTTTCACCTTTTCTGGTGGTTGATAATCAAAAGAATTAGAAAAAAATTAAAAAATTCATTAAAACTTAAACATTTTTTAAAATAAAATATCACATTTTGAAATTTTTTATGAATTATTTATATACAAATGGTGTATTATTGATAATAACAATTATCCTATAGGAGACTTAATAAACCAATGTAATCTACAAACCTGGGGTTTGGGGCTTGTTGGGGCAAAAATTAACCTTTACTAGAATCAATCTTAAAATATAAAATATTTATTAATGTATAACTTAAGTTAAGTGTTTGTTGGGCTATCCCATGGTATTTAATAAATTCAATTATAAATTGTCAACCTTATGATGATATTGACAAAAACGACTAGTAGCCCTATTCCTACTATTGGAAGAAAGTTGATAATGAGATCAAAAATTTTGATTATTTACCGGGCGGCTAAAAAACGTCGTGTTTTGAAATCTTATTAACTCCGAAACGTGTCATTCGTTTTTTATGAAATCTCCTGTCTTAATATTCTCAAAATATATAATTTTATAAAGTGGTTTTTAGAAAATTAAGATAAAAAAAATGTAGTCGTACATATATATTTTTAAAGATTTACTTTAATTCATAAACTATAACATAAAAACATAATATTTTAAATTTTATAAAGTGGCTTTTAGAAAATTAAGATAAAAAAAATGTAGTCGTACATATATATATTTAAAGATTACCTTTAATTCATAAACTATAACATAAAAACA